GAGCTAGGCCAAAAGAGCTGAGTCCTTTTGACATGAGAGTTTCTGCTTCCTTCCTCACTATCTGGTAGGATAAGTTGTTTCCTCACTCATCTTGTTCATTTTTTGCCCCAAACCTGGCATCAGCCATTTCTCCAAGAAGCATTGGTGTCTTTTAGTATTTTAAGACCATAATCCGGGTGCTAGGAAGGTTCACTGCTACTGGAAAAGGTCATTGTTTCTACACCTTTTCAATGGATAAAGACAGGAAGATAAAACCTCATGAGTTCAAACTATGTTTTATTCAAAATCAGGGCTAAAAGGTTTTTACTTCTGTATTATCTCTGTAGCTTCTACCCTCCACACACACAAAAAAAATCTAGGTTTTGTTTTTTTTTCCTCCTTCCCTCCTTCCCTCAAAATCTGATTCTTAAGTATACAAAACATGAGAGTGTTAGAATATCCATAATTACTCAATTGCTTTCTAGTCAACACATTTTAAGTCCCTATATAAACTAGCACACTCCTCCCTTTCCATCTGCACAGCGAATGTTACAAGAAGACCATGTATAAACACATGTATGGCATCAGTCACTTCAGAAGGCTGAACTGTCCCAGGAGCTCTGTGCCATCACCAGGTCCCGGGGGCTGGGGTTGGAGAGACACAGACAGGGTTAGCTACAGAATGAAAACTTTGCTTTCCTTCTCTTCTCTACAGCCCAGCCCGCCCCCTAGTGGAGATGCTAGAGAGCAGGAAACAGGCCAAAGCAGATCAGACAGGAAGTCAACTAGTTGACATTTACTTAGCAATTACCAGGAACAGTCCTAAAATGGTGCTTGAAGGTAGAAAACCTCTCTGTGGTTTTAAGTGACTTTAAGCGTAGCTAGGGAGAGCAGAGACTGCCCAAATGAAAAGCACTTTACAAACCGTAACCAGGCAACATGACAAATTTCAAAATCAAGAGAAGGCACGCCAAATTGAGTGTATTAAAATGACTTAACTATATTTTTTAAATGCCATTTTATTTCTTTCAATAGAGCATATTACTATACCCTAAGACATAAATGCTCACATACATTTTGAAAAATATTACAGGCTACAAGTGACATAATCGTTCATAGGCTTAAACAAAAAATTAATGAATCCAGTGATGAATCCTATATACTTTCGTATTTTTTTTTTTCTATTTTTAGTAGAGACAGGGTCTCACTCTTGCTCAGGCTTGTTTCGAACTCCTGACCTCAAGATACCATTCTGCCTCAGCCTCTCAGAGTGCTAGGATTACAGGTGTGAGCCACTGTGCCCAATCAAATATTTGATTTGATATTAAGGAGAACTCATTTTGGTCATAAAACCTCAAATTCTTTTTAAAATTTACCAGGACTTTTAAATATTCAATAATGTACAAGTTCCATATTATGAAGGCTTGAATCAACAAGACTTTATTCAGGTGTAAACTAGATTTGTAAGGAGAAGAAGAGGAAAGAGATAACCAAAAAATGAATTGTTAAGGAGATGAATTGAACAGAAGTTTTGTTTGTTCTGGTTTGTTTGTTCTGGACCTCAGGTGCTGGATATGATTGTATTACTCAGAATCCTTTCTTCATGCTACACCTTTGTCACTGGTTCATGCAAGGCCTTCTCCATTTTCTTACTTGTTTATTGAAATAATGAGCCTGAGTATTTTTATACCTTTTTAATGCAAAACTGAAATCATACTGTTTTTGTATCTACCACATGTCACTGGAAGCACTGAGTACCATTTTTTTAAACACTTAACAATGTAACTTGCACAATTTCCCATAAAAAGAATAAGGGCATCATTTTAATGGCTACCTGGTATCTGTGTCTGTACTATATGGACTGTAATTTATTTAACCAATCCTATATTGTAGGATAGTTGGATCTATTTTGTTTCCAGTATCCCACTATTATCAATAATTGCTATGTAGAACATAAATCATTATGCAGGTCTGGGCTAGATTCCTGGAAGTAGTACCACTGGGTCAAAGTGCAAGGCTGTGAGGAAAGGAGTCTGGTAGACAGCTTCCCTCAGATAATAAGTTCTCCTGGGGAGATGCAGAGGTGAAAATAAACAAAGCATTTATGGGCATATTTGCTTGGCAGAGAATAAGAAAATGAGGTTACTGAAAAACAACCAGGTGTGGAAGTCTGTATTTGAAAGAATGAGCAATAGTGAGCCACTTGTGGGTTCTTAGGTACTAAATCCTGTTAGAGGAGGATCATTCAGCAGATCACCTAGGGGGAGAGGCAAGAAGTAATCAAAATCTGATTTGAGGTAATGAATGTGAAAACAACCTAGCACTTTGGGAGATCAAGGAAGAAGGATTGCTTGAGGCCAGGAGTTCGAGACCAGCCTGGGCAACACAGTGAAACCCCATCTCTACAAATAAAAAAAAAATTAACTGTAAGTGGTGGGGCCCACCTGTAGTCCTAGCTACTTGGGAGACTGATGCGGGATCACTTGAGCTGAGAAGTTCAAGGTTACAGTGAGCTATGATCACACCACTGCTCTCCATCCTGGCAACGGAGTGAGATCCTGTCTATAAAAAAATAAAAAAAAGAACCTCAAATAATCAGCTATAGGACTTGAATTAAATTTAAAGGGCAAAGAGGTGGGAAAGATTATTTTTAAAAAATGATTCCAGATTTTCCCAGCCGGATAACCCAGAAACCACTGGAATCCTGAAGTCTCAATAAGGCACAGATAGTAAGTAATCTAGCAATAGGGGACGGGCAACCAGCAGACTACTTACATAATAAGCAGAGCCCAGTGCAAAATTAAAATACCAGGTGCTTGCTTTAAAATTAAGAATTAGCCGGGCCCTCTGAACGTTTAGTACCTGACATTTTTAGTGACTGAAATAATGTAAAATTTGACTAGGCCCTTGTTTGCTTGCACATGTTAACCACTTACTTCCTGCCCAGCACCCCTTCATCTCACGGTAATTATTAACTGATGTACTGTTTCTTTGTCAAGAAAAAGAGACTCCAGGGTCAGGAGGACAATCTATGAGTTCGTTTTACAGAAGGAATTAATGCCCTCAAAAAAAGCTGCGACTGCTGCCGACAACCAAGGTCTGGTTACTTAAATGAACAGTTTTCTGAGACTGAAAACAAGGGACGTCCCCCTTTGGTTCCCTATAACTCATCCTCCCTTACTAGCTAGCCGCATAAAAGCTCCCAATTTCATTCTTTTGATAAGATGTATCAAGAGATTTTGCTCTCCTATCTTTTCCCTTTGGCCAAATCAAATAAACCTTTCTCCATCTCCAAGCACCGGTGTCAATGTTTTGCTTTAGCTGCCAGAGCCCGAATTTGGAGTTCTACAACAATTCAGAGACGGTGACAGAACACTACACCAAGCATGGGGCCCTTCTAAGCGCAGAGCCCACGAAGCCTCCCCAGTGGTCTAGAGACTAGGAGACGTCACCCGAAGGACTGGTCACACCCTCGCCCTCCCTGGGAGAGTGAACCCCAGGAGGGCCCAGCGGAACTAAGGGCCCTCGCTCCTCTCCCTGCCCTCAAAGGGCTCAGGGCGGAGGGAAGCTCACAGCCCTTTTAAGGAAGTGTACACTGTGGGTGCTGAACTTCAACTTCGACCTGGGGCTTTTGAGCCCGGCACAAGCAAGGTCACTCGACCCACACGCCTCCCCACCCAGCATGGACTAGGATCCCGACACGTGGCAAGTCCCGGCCTTGGACTCTGCCAGTTACTCATAAACCCGCAGGAAGGGGTAGGAGGCGGGGCGCGTGAACGCCTAGGAGCCACCGCCTGGAGCAGAGAGGCACCCAGGGCCCAGAGGGCCTAGGGAAGGTTTGCAAATCCCGAAGGGCCAAGAGAGAGTCGGACCGGGACTGACGGAACCGGAAAGGCTCTACGAGGCAGCCGCGCGTATTAGGGAGCGTCTGCAAAGAGCAAGAAAGGAAGCCAGGTACCGTCTGAAAGGTTGCCAGAGGGGGTAAGGGGAGGTATAGAAAGGACCGACGCCACAAGAACTAGACCTCCAAAACTAGACCCGGAAGGAAGGTTTGGAGGCCTGGGTCACCATCTGTGACACTGGGCACCCCTTAGGGCAGGACAGCCTAGAGCAGCAGCCAGCGAAAAGAGAATAGTTCCAGCTGGGCGGGAGGGGAAGGGGTGTTGGGGTAGAAAGAAGAGGCCCTTGGGCGTTGTCTGAAAAGTGCGAAGTCAAATGATCATTAGGGACCGACGGTAAATTGTGTCCCTCGCTAAAACACCTCTCAGTAGCAAACCACCAACCGTTTCTTTTGTGAGCCCCGCCTCTCAGCCACTCTGTCTAGTTCTCTTGTCTGTGATCCAGGAAGCTGCCAATCCCCTTTTACGCTTCCCCACCAAGAATGAACGGCCCACCACGGGCGAGCATTTTCTCCTCCCCTCATACCCTTCACACACTTTCTCCCGCCCACCTATCAATCACAGCGCGCCGCTGTCCAGTTGGCGGGCCAAGGGGGCGGGGCCGTCAGCAGCGTCCTGTGACGTCTGCAGCCCGCCGGCCGGGAAGCCGGGAAGTGCGTGACGAAAGAGGCGCGTGACGGAGGAGCAGTTGGCTGACGCTGTGGCGTCAGTCGGTGTAAACAGGGCCTCGCGCTGCTGCGGGTCCTGTGAGCGCTCCTGGCTGGTGGGTGGTCTCGTGTGGGGCGGTAACCGCCGGCTTCAGTGGGAGGTGCTTCTCGGATTCCGACCCCTCTTGGCGTACACAGCCCCGGCACACCACGTGGGCGTGAGGGAAGGAAGGAGGGGGTGTTAGGCCGAATTCTAACCTCATTGGCTGTAGCTGCTGCCGGCTCTTGAAAAGAAGTGCTCTGATTGGTCAGGAAGGGGGGGTGTTGTGGTGTCTTTGAGTCCTACGGTTTCTGATTGGCTAGATGAGATAAGCTAGTGAAGCGCTCTCTTCCGCGAGGAGGTTTGATTGGTCTGCCAAAGAGGTTACCTGGGAGTCCAACACCTCCCCACACCTCTCCCGCTCCCCTGTCCAGGGACTTTGATAGGTGAGTTTTGGGTAGAAAACTGAGACATTCCTCATCAAAGGATTATCATTGATGAGCTAGGGTAGCGCCTTAGGCTTCACTCTGCTTTCTTTGCTTCACAGGATTAGGGAAGATTTGTGTTCCCAAAGCCTTGGGAGTTCTCATAGGCTAAGAAAAGGGATTGCAGTACCTAGGAAGGGTAACCCTCCTAGAGATAGCTACTGCTCTATTTCGGGAGACCCTGGTATTCCTAGAGCAGGCTTTGCTTTCGCCAAACCCAAGGAGGTGACAGGAGGAGCCCCTGCACAGGACCTAAGGATGCTGTGACCAGAAGATGGGATCACGGAACAGCAGCAGTGCAGGATCCGGGTCCGGAGACCCCTCTGAGGGCCTGTCCCGAAGAGGGGCTGGCCTGCATCGGAGTGAAGAAGAGGAAGAGGAGGATGAAGATGTGGATCTGGCCCAGGTACTGGCCTATCTCCTCCGCAGGTAACTTACTCTCTGGTGTGACCCCACCAGTTGCCACCACAGCCCCTGATACCAACTCCAGCAGAAAAGTTACAGAGGATAGGGAATGGGATTAGCCCAGGACAACTGTTCTGTTTGAGCAGAACAGCCTTTTCCTGCTGGGCACCCATGGCGCTCAGCTCCATACCCGGTAACAGTCTTCTTGGCTAGGGAGGATCACCAAAAAGACCCACTCTTGTGTTTGAGGGGTTGTTCAGGGGAGCCTCTCTGGCTACAACTACACAAATGTAATCTATTTTCCAAGTAAATTAAAAAAAAAAAAAGGGTGGCGGGCCTGGAGGGAGTGATGTGACAGGTGAAGAGTAGGGGTGGGGGGTGTTGAACTTTAGTAAAGCATTTGACATATGATATGAGGCCACATTGATTCACTTGAAAAACAAGTTTAAATTGACCCAACTCGAACCTGTTCTTGAGGAAAGAATGCCCTAAAGGGAGTGACCACCAGAAATTGGCTGGAAAAGGGTACAGCTGGCTTTGTTTCTTTGTTATGGCACCTCAGGGAGAAGATGAGCTTGGGGAAGTCGAGTTAGTAGGTCTGTCAACCTTCACAGTATGTTGGGGTTCTCCACTGTGTCTCTAAGAATGAGAGTCAGTTTCCTACTGTGTCTTATAGGAGACTGAAAATAACAGCCAAGGTCTAGTCAGCCTCAAACCTCAAAATGAGTACCAAATGATCTAAGAGCCAGATAGCTATTACTCTGAATTTGGTTGTTCTGGGGAAAGGGGTCCCCTCCTTTATAATGGGGTGTCTCTCTACAGAGGCCAAGTGAGGTTGGTACAGGGAGGAGGTGCAGCAAATTTACAACTCATCCAGGCCCTCTCAGACTCAGAGGAAGAGCATGACAGTGCTTGGGATGGTCGTCTCGGGGATCGATACAACCCTCCTGGTAAGAGGCAGACCAAGACCCTAATGTTGGAAGACTTTCATTAGAAACGCTTTTTTTCTTCTGGTGAAGAATGGTAGGTTAAATTGAAAAATGTGATAATGCAGGGAATGAGGGTTTCCTTACAGACCCAGTATATTCAGCCACATTGAGTGGGCTTGGGCACAGTTCCTCTAGCTGCCCTCTGGGGCTGGAAGACCTAGGATGAAACTTCTTCTGTTCACTTCTATTTACAGTAGATGCAACCCCTGACACCCGGGAGCTGGAATGCAATGAGATCAAGACACAAGTGGAATTGGCCACAGGGCAGCTGGGGCTTAGGCGGACAGCCCAGGAGCACAGCTTTCCTCGAATGCTGCACCAGGTAGGCCTCTCCACCTTCAGCCAGTCTGGCAGCAGGCCTGCCAAGGCAGCCAGAAACTCTGCCAGCCCCAGAGAAAAAGGAAGCCTCAAGTGCTGGGGCTGGAGAGTTAGCCAGCCTGCATTGGAGGTCTATGTATGGTGTCCATTTCTGTAGCAAGAGCAATATCTTTGGAGGAGGGGGCTTGATGTGACTGAAATGGCCCTCTGTTTCTGCTAGCAATATTCCCCAATCCCTTCCATTTAGAGAGAACGGGGCCTCTGCCACCGGGGAAGCTTCTCCCTCGGAGAACGGTCTCGAGTGATGTCTCAGTGAGTATGGGGCTTGGTGGAGAGACTCTGAGGGTCAGATAGGCTTAGCTTCTAAATTTGAAGGGGTAGGTGTGAAAGGAGCCTCAGAGATACTAATGATAGGTTAAGTGGGGTTGAAACTTTGAGAGTACCCAAAGTGGAAAAGTATAGCAATTTAGAGGATGGTGGACTGGATGAAAGACAAGGGATTCTACGCAAAGCCAAAAGAGAAGACTGCCCTGTACTGACATTTTAGCTCTGTTAGGGTTCTGCTAATTGGGATACTCCTCATCCTGAGCTCCCCTTACCCTCACTTTCCTTCTGCTTCCCAGCTTCTTGCCCAATGATCTGGGCTTCATTGATACCTACTCTCAGAAGGCTTTCTGTGGCATCTACAGCAAAGATGGCCAAATCTTCATGTCTGCTTGCCAAGGTACCAGACCCTGGTCCTATAAACTGCCTTTCCCTGGAACAAGGATCGTTTCCCTTGAATGAAGCTAGAAAGTCCCAGACCCAGGGAGCTCAGACCTGGCTCAGGAATGCTTAGCCAGAGCATGTTTCCCATGATAAAGGGCAGACTCCACAAATGCACTGAGTGAGAGAGGTCTGATTTAGAAGGATATAAAGAGGGTGTTCCATAATTCTGCCTGATCCCTACTTAAACAGACCAGACAATCCGACTGTATGACTGCCGGTATGGCCGCTTCCATAAATTCAAGAGCATTAAGGCCCGGGATGTAGGCTGGAGCGTCCTGGATGTGGCATTTACCCCTGATGGGAACCACTTCCTCTACTCCAGTTGGTCTGATTACAGTGAGTATGTACCAGATTTCTGTTGTTTCTCTAGCCTGGGGCCTGAGGTGTCCATGTGCCTATCTCTTCTGATCCAGGACTCCATGCTTTGTCCTGGGAAAATCACTCCCAAGGTGTTCTAACACCCTTGTCCTTTGTTCTGTCTCTTCCCTAGCTTCACTTCCACTCTCCTTCACCCATCCCTGAAAGATTCTTGTTTCTCTTGCTTCTTTTAGTTCATATCTGCAATATCTACGGGGAGGGAGACACACACACTGCCCTGGATCTAAGGTACTGGCTTCCCTTCTGATCAGATCATCAGAAACTTCTCAAAGAAGGCTCTACAGGAGCAAACCTCTTGGGCTGGAAGTCCTGCTTAGAGGAAAAGTGTACTGGTTGCAAGTTTCTCTGTGTGGATTCCTGGGAGGGAACCATCCATCCTCTCAGCCAGAGGACAAGGGTCAAATAGATGGTTGCAGGATTATTTCTGGGTTCTCGCTGAGGTAACCCCCATTCTGGCACATGTTAGCAGGACTTCTTTTTTCCCTGAAGATGTGCCTTACAACCCTTGTCAGAGTTTATGTAGATTAACAAAAGCTGAAGGGAAATCCACTTAACCTAGCTCCTTCTTTGCTTTCTTCAGGCCAGATGAGCGTCGCTTTGCTGTCTTCTCCATTGCTGTCTCCTCAGACGGACGAGAAGTACTAGGAGGGTGAGTGTTTGTGGGGGATGTCTCCCTCAATTAATGAGATGGAGGTTCTCCCAGAGATCAGCTCTGCTGTTACAGAGGCTGCACTGGCAGCTGTGGAAAACAACCAGCCCTTCTCCAAGGTCAAAGTTTACGAGTTGCTTCACCTCTTGCTCTCTATTTCTCCAGCACATGATGGGAGGTCACAAGCCTCTTTGAAAACATAGCTAACTCTTCCTCCATTTCCTGTGTAAGAGCAGACAAGGGATTGCCCCTCAGCAGAATTTCTCAGTGGGACTCTCTAGAGCATATATAACCTCAGCCCTCTCAGTCCTAGCTCCAGGACCTCTCTATCTCTTCCCTTTCAGGGCCAATGATGGCTGCCTGTATGTCTTTGATCGAGAACAGAACCGGCGCACCCTTCAGGTATTGCTCCTGAGACTTAGAGCCTCTGCCTCCTGGTCTTTGGCCTATTATAAGGCCTGGAAAGAGATCTTAAGTATCCTGGCCTCCTTCTCCCCTAGATTGAGTCCCATGAGGATGATGTGAATGCAGTGGCCTTTGCTGATATAAGCTCCCAAATCCTATTCTCTGGGGGTGATGATGCCATCTGCAAAGTGTGGGATCGACGCACCATGCGGGAGGATGACCCCAAACCCGTGGGTGCGCTGGCTGGACACCAGGATGGCATCACCTTCATTGACAGCAAGGTGGGCAGGGAGGCAGGACTGCACAGCCAGGCTACTAAGGTTCTGGTTGTTCAGGAGGACATGAAAGTGGACTGGTGTGGGAACTTGACAGGCTCTTTATTAGCCAGAGTTTATAAGAGCTGGAGTTTAGAGAAGGAGCTTAGCCAGGAAACATGAATTCCACCTGTACCCACTACTCCTTACGAAGTGGGGCAGAGCTTTCTGTATAAGACAAATGGAAGATTTTCTTTTCTTTTCTTTTCTTTTTTTTTGGAAACAGTCTAGCTCTGTTGCCCTGGCTAGCTAGAGTGCTGTGGCGTCAGCCTAACTCACAGCAACCTCAAACTCCTGGGCTCAGGTGATCCTCAGCCTCCCAAGTGGCTGGGACTATAGGCGCTTGCCACCACATCCAGCTATTTTTTTCTAATTTTAGTAGAGATGGGGTCTCACTCTTGCTCAGGCTGGTCTCAAACTCCTGACCTCAAGCAATCCTCCTGCTTCTGGCCTCCCAGAGTGCTAGGATTGTAGGCCTGAGCCACCACGCCCAGCCAGAAGATTTTCCAATCCAGGATAAAATAGGAGATCTAGCTAGGGCCCTGGGCAAAGAAAGGAAAACCTAGCAAGGTGATAGGATCTGAGGCAGAACATCGAAAGTGAACTCACCTTTATGAAGAAAGAGGCAAGCAAAGTCAGAGGACTGGACTTCTTCCCCTCAACTAGAGGGGCACTGGACTAACAGGCACTGACATTTGCAGCCTCTGATGCTTCAATATCCATTTTTGAATTCACAGGGTGATGCCCGGTATCTCATCTCCAACTCCAAAGATCAGACCATCAAGCTCTGGGATATCCGACGCTTTTCCAGCCGGGAAGGCATGGAAGCCTCACGCCAGGCTGCCACACAGCAAAACTGGGACTATCGCTGGCAGCAAGTGCCCAAAAAAGGTGCGAGTGGAAGTAGAACTGAGATCTGAAGAGTTAAGAGTCAGGGGTGGTAGTTATTAATAAAATACTTAACCACTGGTAAGGCCTGGCATAGGCACATGGATTTGTCTGGAGCCCGTCCCCGCAGCCCCCTTTGCCAGGCATTAACTCTTTATTTGCTGAACCATGAGGATGGCCAGGGGTTCCCAGGGTTGGGGCCTGGGGTCACTCAGAATCAACCAATACAAAAGCATTTCAGTATCATAATACCCAGCAGGGCCATATTGGTGACTATCTAGTTTTAGGTGGGGAAAGAGGCACCAGTTGAAGGTTGGAAAGGCAATTGTCTCTGCACATCAATCTTTGCTAAAGACTGGAAGTGCAGGGCAATCCAGAAGCAGACACCCTAACCTAGAGCTCTCCTTCCTTCCCTACCCAGCCTGGCGGAAGCTGAAGCTCCCAGGTGACAGCTCCTTGATGACTTACCGGGGCCATGGAGTGCTGCACACCCTCATCCGCTGCCGATTCTCCCCAACTCATAGCACAGGCCAGCAGTTCATCTACAGTGGCTGCTCCACTGGCAAAGTGGTTGGTAAGGATTGTGTCAGAACAGGGCCTTGGGAAGGGCAGGAATGTTTCTGTGGCATTCCACCTGTAACCACCAGTGACCACCTTAAAAAACCTAGTGACAACAAATAAAATTTAATTTAGCTTGAAGTAGGGGAAGCTTAAACAAAGAAAGAGAAAACATTCTATTCATCAGCATTTTAAATTAAGAAAAGGAACATAGAATTCTCATCAGTAAATAAAACAGATTACCAAAAATATAGTCAGTTCTGTTTTTTAGCCAGTCAAAGAAAGAAGTTGCAGATGAAAGGTAGGAGGGAATGGAGACAAAAATGACACAAGAAGACAGCAGCAAGTAGTAAAGGACATGCACTGAAGCAGGAGGAATGCACAAAAAGAAACACAATCACAGCTAGAGAGATGAGGATCCTAAGGCAGTGCTGTTCCTAGGGAGACACTCAGACAGACCCGTGGCATAAAAGAGCACAATGAATCCCCTCCAGACAAGGAGCAGCGTGGCGTTCACTTTGTGGTGCCTTCCATTACTAAAAGCTTTAGGGCCACGGCGTTTTCTTAACTGTAGGCCCTGTGAAATTTAGCTGAGGGTCAAAGATACCCACATTTCACTAGCCCATACCCTCAACCCAAGGTAGGGAAAGGGAACAGGGGAAATAAACAGAAATAATACAGGCCTCTGGTGTGTGCTTTGCTCCCATGGGAAAGTGGGAAGTTGCCTGAGAAGCAGGTCACTAGTGCCACTCGGGAAATGAGGGATAGTTTAAAGGCCCATGGCAACCCCTCTCCACTCTGGCCTTTCCTGGACAGTGTATGATCTCCTCAGTGGCCACATCGTGAAGAAGCTGACCAACCACAAGGCCTGTGTGCGTGACGTCAGTTGGCACCCCTTTGAAGAGAAGATTGTCAGCAGTTCGGTGAGGTTGCAAGGGGGTTGAGGGGCTGGCATGTGTTTGGGGCTTGGACCTGGGAGGGGACAGCACCCCCTGACTACTTGCCACCTTCTGCCCTGCAGTGGGACGGGAACCTGCGTCTGTGGCAGTACCGCCAGGCTGAATACTTCCAGGATGACATGCCAGAGTCCGAGGAATGTCCCAGTGCCCCCACCCCAGTGTCCCACTCCTCTACAGCCTTTTCCTCACCCCAGTAGATCTGACCTCCAGTCCCACACAGGGTGAACCTCTTGATAAGCTCTCTGCCTCTTCCTCCCTTTCTCCTTTCTGGGGAATGTTTGGAGGAATCACTGGCATTGGATGGGGCAAAACAGAAGCCCAGCCTCTGAGTCCCAGCTGAGCCCTGGAAGATCCTCCCCTCAGGGTAGAGTGATCTCCTCATACACTCACACTCAGCCGGCTTGGGTCCCTATCTCTGGCCAGGGTCTGGCAGGACTGCCATTATCTGGGGTGTGGCCTCTGCCAGCAAGAGAACTGTCCTGAGTGTTTTTAATCATGTTTGAATGTTAGGTGTTGGCTCCTAGAGTAGATGACTGAGGCCAGGTCTGAAGAGACCTGTCAGCCAGGCCCACTGCGCAGGTCTCATGTTGAGGATTAGACTGGCCAATCAGAGGGCCAGGTGTCCTGGCCTTTCTTCCTGAGGCCTTTGCTGGAGGACAGGATGAGTAAGGGTGTTTCCTCAGCACTCTCCTTGGGTAGGGATTGTGTGTTCTCTCATGTCTGGGTCTTTGGGGTAGGACAGGCTATGATGTGAGAGACGGGACTCTCCAGAACCTCCTTGAGGCTCCACACAGGGCAGGTCGTGCCTTCCCAGAGGGTCCTGTCATGCTGGAAGCCAGCAGTTTTAAGGAAGAAGGTTGAAGTAGGACTCCATCCTTTCACTGGCTTTGGCTCCCTCAATAAACTCTCTGTGGGAACCTGGCTGATTCTCTGTCTCTGTCTCTGTCTCTGTCTCTTTATCGTATCTGAGGTCTTTTATCCTCACACTTCAAGAAAGCACAGTTTCACCAAAGCCTTCGGGTGTGATTCTCTGCAGGAGAAAATACCCTTTTGCCGCCCCAAGCTGAAGGGAAATACCAAAATGATTTATTAACTGAGCCTTGCAATAGTCACCCCCTTGTCAACTTCAGAAACTACCTGGCAAGTAGACATTCAGAGAGCAGGGGATAAGTACATTTTCAGTAAGAGCCCTGTAACAGCCTGTCAGCTCTGCTCTGAGGCTGGCCCTGGAGCCAGTCCAGTCTTCAGAAGAGGCAGCCCATGAACGCAGAGCCAGAGAGAACCTGGTAGGTGCTGACACCAGGCGCTATCAGGGCTCTTCATACTCAGAGCCTCATACCCCAGAGCAAACCAGGGTGAGATGGTCAGGGGAGAGCTGGGGCTCACATCCAGCTCTGATTAGAGCTTTGCCCAGGACGTTTTGTGCTCTCTAAGACAGTTTTCAAACTAGGGTACACACATCCAGGGGTGTTCACAGGCTTTCATAGCAAAGGGTGAAAGGGGTGCCTATTTCACAGCAAAGTAGGTAGTTTTAAAAGAATAAACTGTCCAGATCCTTGGCCTCCATGTGTTCTCTTTCCACAGATTGATCTGCCTTTCAGTCTCCCTCTGCCACTTCACCCCAGAGTTGCTACCCGTCTCACCCAGAACCTATATTGCCTCCAGGGTACCAAATTAAGGGACATCTTCAAATTGTCAGTATCCTCAAAGCCTGATTGGATCAAGGCCCCACAGACCATCCACGCTTCTCAGTAAGAGATGTTTCCAATACAATTTTATGTTATCAAAATGTTTACATTTTTTACAAATTGAAGGTTTGTGGCAATCCTGTGTTTAGAAGGACTATCCGTGCCATTGTAAAATGTTTGTTATATAGGCATACCTGAGATATATTGTGAGTTCAGCTTGAGACCACTGCAATAAAGTCATTATCGCAATAAGGCAAGTAATTACAATTTTTTTAGTTTCCTATTGCACATAAAAGTTATGTTTAAATTATCTTGTATGGCCAGGCACGGTGGCTCATGCCTGTAATCCCAGCACTTTGGGAGATTGAGGCAGGAGGACCTCATGAGGCTAGGAGTTCCAGACCAGCCCAGGCAACATAGCAAGACCTTGCCCCTGCAAAAAAAAAAATAATAATTAAAAAAAAACTATACTGTAGTCTATTAAGTATGCAATAGCATTATATATACAAAATAATGTACATACCTGAATTTTAAAATCCTATATTGCTAAAAAATGCTAATGATCATGTGAGCCTTCAGCATTGTATTAATAATCTTTTTGCTGGTGGAGGGCCTTGCCTTGATGTTGTTGGCTGCTGACTGATTAGGGTGGTAGTTACTAAAAGTTGGGGTGCCTGTGGCAATTTCTTAAAATAAGACAATGAAGTTTGCTGCATTGATTGACACTTCCTTTCACTAAATGCTGTTTAATAGCATTTTACCCACAGTACAACTGTCTTTAAAAATTGGAGTTGGTCCTCTCAAATCCTGCCACTGCTTTAACAACTAAGTTTGTATGATATTCCAAATCCTTTGTTGTCATCTCAACCAAGTTCATAGCATCTTCATCCAGAGTAGATTCCATCTCAAGAAACCACTTTCTTTGCTGTCTATAAGAAGCAACTCCTCATATGTTGAAGTTTAATCATGAGATTGCAGCAATTCAGTTACATCTTCAGGCTCCACTTCTAATTCTAGTTCTTTTGCTATTTCCACCACATCTGCAGCTTCTTCCTCCACTGAAGTCTTGAACCTCTCAAAGTTATCGATGAAGGCTGGAATCCACTTCTTTCAAACTCCTGTTAATGTTGATATTTTGATCTCCTTTGAATCACAGATGTTCTTAATGGCATCTAGAATGGTGAATCCTTTCCAGAAGTTTTTATTTTTCTTTTTTTCTTTTGAGATAGGGTCTTGCTCTGTTTCTGTTGCCCAGGCTAGAGTGGTGTCATGATAGCTCACTGCAACTTCAAACTCCTGGGCTCATGTGATCCTCCTGCCTCAACCTCCTGAGTAGCTAGGACTATAGGCACATGCCACCACACTTGGCTAATTTTTTTTATTTTTTTGTAGAAATGAGGTCTCACTATGTTGCTCAGGCTGATCTGGAACTCCTGGCCTCAAATGATCTTCCCGCCTTGACCTCCCAAAGTGCTAGGATTACAGGCATGAGCCACCAAGCCTGGCCTTCCAAGAGGTTTTCAATTGACTTTTCCCAGACCCATCAGAGGAATCATTATGGCAGCCTTGTGAAATGTATTTTTTAAATAACAAGATTTGAAAATCAAAATTGGGCTCCTTGGACTGGGCACAGCGGCTCACACCTGTAATCCTAGCACTCTGGGAGGCCGAGGCAGGAGGATTGCTTGAGCTCAGGAATTCAAGACCATCCTGAGCAATAGTGAGACCCCGTTTCTACCAAAAAGAAAAATCAGCCAGGCATTGTGCACGCCTGTAGTCCCAGCTACTCAGGAGGCTGAGGCAAGAGGATCGCTTAAGCCCAGGAATCTGAGGTTGCAGTGACCTATGATGATGCCACTGCACTATACCCAGGGTGACAGAGTAAGACTCTGTCTCAACTACAACAACAAAAAAAAAAAAAAGAAAGAAAAAAAAACAAGGCAACTGAGCACCCCTCCTAATAATTTTTTTAAAAATTAAAAAACAATTAACAAAATTGCTCCTTGATCCATGGGCTGCAGTATGGATGTCGTGTTAGCCGACATGAAAACAACATACATCTCTTTGCACATCTCCATCAGAGCTCTTGGGTGACCAGATGCATTATCAAGGAGCAGTAATATTTTGAAAGAAACCTTTTTTTCTGAGTAGTAGGTCTGAACAGTGAGCTTAAAATATTCAGTAAACCATGCTGTAAAGAGATGTGCTGTCATCCAGGCTTTGTTACTCCACTGATAGAGCACAGGCAGAGTAGATTTAGCATAATTCTTAAGGGCCCTAGGATTTTCAGAATGGTAAATGAGCATTGGTTTCAACTTAAAGTCACCAGCTGCATTAGTCCGTAACAAGAAGGTCAGCCTGTCCTTTGAAGATTTGAAGCCAGACATTGACTACTCCTTTCTAGATACAAAAATCTTAGATGGTATCCTCTTCCAATAGAAGGCTGTTACTTCTGCTTCGAAAATCTGTTCAGTGTAGTCATCTTCATCAATTATCTTGGCTAGATCTTCTGGCTTGTTATAGCCTCTATATCAGCACTTGCTGCTTCACCTTGCACTTTTATGTTATGGAGACAGCTTTTTCCTTAAACCTGATGAATCAACCTCTTCTAGCTTCCAACTTTTCTTCAGCTTTCTCACCTCTCTTAGCCTTCATAGAATTAAAGAGTTAGGGCTTTGCTCTGGATTAGGCTTTGGCTTAAGGGAATGCTGTGACTGATTTGATCTTCTGTCCAGACCACTGACGTTTTCTCCATATCAGCAATGAGGCTGTTTTGCTTTTTTATCATTTATGCATTCACTGAAGTACACGTTTAATTTTTTTCAAGAACTTTTCCTTTACATTCACAACTTGGCTAATTGTATGGTGCAAGAGGCCTAGCTTTTGGCCTATCTTAGCTTTCAACATGCCTTCCTTACTAAGCTTAATCATTTCTGGCTTTTGATTTAAAGGGAGAATGTGTGACTCTTCCTTTCACTTTGAACACTGAGAGGCCACGGCAGGATTATTAATTGGCTTAACTTCAATATTGTTGCGTCTTAGGGAATAGGAAGGGCTGAGGAGAGGGAGAGAGAGATAGAAGAATAGTGGGGTGGTGGGGCAGTCAGAACACACATGACACTTATCAATTAAGTTCTCCATCTTATCTGGGCATGGTCATGGCACCGTCCCAAAATTACAGTAGTAACATTAAAGATTACTGATCACAGATCACCATAATAGATACAATGATAGTGAAAAAGTTGGAAATACTGTGAAAACTATCAAAATGTCACACAAAAAGTGAGCACATGCTGTTGGAAAAAGGCACCAATAAACTCGCTGGACACAGGGTTGCCACAAACCTTCAATTCATAAAAAATGCAATTATCGGCCGGGAGCGGTGGCTCACGCCTGAAATCCTAGCACTCTGGGAGGCCGAGGCGGGTGGATTGTTTGAGCTCAGGAGTTCGAAACCAGTCTGAGCAAGAGCGAGACCCCGTCTCTACTAAAAATACAAAGAAATTAATCGAACAACTAAAAATATATATATAAAAAAAAAAATTAGCCAGGCATGGTGGTGCATGCCTGTAGTCCCAGCTACTCGGGAGGATGAGGCAGAAGGATCACTTGAGCCCAGGAGTTTGAGGTTGCTGTGCGCTAGGCTGACGCCACGGCACTCTCGCCCGGGCAACAGAGTGAGACTCTGTCTCAAAAAAAAAAAAATGCAATTATCTGTGCAGTATAATAAAGCAAAGCACAATAAAATGAGGTTTCCCTGTATTAATAATCTATTTCGTACTAACAATCATAATGAAAATTCACAAGAAAAAAACGTAACTCTAGGACTTTATGGTTACAGGAAACTTTTAAAAATTAAACTTTAGATTATATACTTTTTTACATAGAAGTGTGATAAATGGTTAATGAAAGACTTTCAAGCATAAAAATTGGATAGATTCTGTGGGGAAAGTAGAATGGAATTATAATTTCTGACTTACGATCTTTTCACGTCTTTTAAAATGGATAATGGTGAGGTATCTAATTGGTGTAGTATTTAGATTCCATTGGATATGTTTGAAAGAGTTATATAGCTTTATTTTGAAATGTGAATATATATACTATACTGGAAATAGTTCTTTGCAACTATTTAAAACACAATGAAACATTTTATGTCAATTTAAAAATGTGTAAGGAGAATGCAGGTCTTCAAAATTTTTTATAGGGTCCATGAGCAGGAAGTCTTGAAGACCACTATGCAGAAGTATGTATGGGCTTTAGGATCTGGAAGGATTCTAACTGATTAATCCATCTTGATCAATGTACAGATGAGAGCACAGAGGGCTTTTCTGCAAGGAATCTGATTATCTAATCCATCTTGATCAATTTACAGAGGAAATTAATGTACTGAGGACAAGGAGGGTTCATTGATTTTCTCAAAGTCACACAGTTGGGCCTAGACCCTGAGTGTCCTTGCTTGCTCATTCCTTTCACTGCTTCCACTGTGCTCAGAAGTCCCACCACCAGTTTTGAGGAATGAGGAAGAAAGACACAAAGCGATCTTGAAACAGTCACTGAGTAACAGGGACTTCTCCTTGCGTAGGTTGCTCTCCACCCTGCCGCTTCAGTCTCAGCAGTCAGGTTGGGAGGCCAGGGTTTGCATGGGGCAGCCCTGAGGCCCAGGGTAGTTGGTTTAGATGGACTCGTGACTGGGAATTTCCGTTCTAGGGTCTTCTCTACCCCTTGTCACCTGAGAGAAACCTGATCTTTAGGGATTTAAGGATCCAGCCTGGGCCACTGCCATCTTATAAAAGATGCCTTCCTTAGGACACTTGACTTTCATCTGTTAATCATCATAATAAATGAATAGCGCCCCTTGAGAGAGAGGTGCTGCCTTGTGCAGTGCACAAGCTCTGGTTTACACAGCAGCCCTGGGCCAAACTAGCCCATTATAGCCCCTTGGTCCAGACAGGAACTGAGCTAAGGAACTGTGACCCTAGACAGCAGAGCCAAGCTGCTGGGGTAACAGTGCACTGAAGTGGATACTGCTGCTATGCCTTGCGAGGCCTGAGGTGGACAGGGTGCTGTGCATAGCACCTTGCTGTTGGCAGGCTCTTGTGCTCAGTACCTCAGGAGAAGGGCAGGATCACACTGACGATAAGACAGACATAGATTTCTTTTTAATGACTTTCAAGGTTTGGTTAGTTTTATCTTCATGACCTCTGATTTCCCTTTGGAGCAAATGTATGGTAAAGTTGGGGTGGGGGTGGGGGGCTCTGGCTGACCAAACAAAGACAGGCAGACCCAAGTAGGGTGTGGACAAGGACAGCCCTGAAGAGCAGGCCTGGCCCTGAGACACGAAGGAGAACATGGTTGAAGCCGAGGACACAAGGCTGACAGGAAAGGACACAGGCTGCTGTCAGGACACACACTACCACACACTCAAGGCCAGGACCCTGCTGACGTGGCAGCCCTCCACCCTGGCCCCTTACTGCCCCCCGCCCCTCTCCCCCGCCTGCCAGCTGCCAACAGGGCTCTGCCCTGTGTCTTCCACACCTGTCACTGCCTGTCCTTATCCAGGGGGGGCCCCATCAGCCCCTCCTCAGCTGCCCAGCAGAGCAAGCAGTTAGTGGGGAGGGGAGGGAACATGGAGCGGGGGCCGGCGGTGGGGGCAGGGCCCGGAGCCGGGGCCCGAATCCGGGCACTGCTGGGCTGCTTGGTCAAGGTGCTGCTCTGGGTGGCCTCTGCCTTGCTGTACTTTGGAAGTGAACAGGCCGCCCGCCTCCTGGGCAGCCCCTGCTTACGGCGCCTCTACCATGCCTGGTTGGCAGCAGTGGTCATCTTTGGGCCCCTTCTGCAGTTCCATGTCAACCCTCGGACTATCTTCGCCAGCCACGGCAACTTCTTCAACATGTGAGTCCACTCAAGGCTGTGGGAACCGGCTCCCTGCACCCTGGGATCCCAGCTCCTTTCTCCAGGCTTCTGTCCTCCTGCCAGTCTGAACACTAAAAATAGGCTAGGAGGTTGAGGAGAAGATTGGAGGGAGGGGGAGGGGAAGAGAGCCATGGGGTACAGGGGAAGTCAGGAGCAAGATGGAAGAGGAAATGTGGACCTTAGAATGCTGACCAGTCCTCTAAGGAGATGGCAAAGCTTAAATGGCTGGGGGTTGCAAAGGGCATGGGAAAGACAACAAGTGATGATTTGTAGGGTTAAGAACAGAGCAGTGATGGGAACACAGACCAGGGTGGGGAGACAGGGCTGGGGGTCTCAGTAGCCTCCCCTCTTCTCTGCCCACAGAAAGTTTGTGAATTCAGCGTGGGGCTGGACATGCACCTTCCTAGGGGGCTTTGTGTTGCTGGTGGTGTTCCTGGCTACACGGCGTGTGGCAGTAACCGCCAGGCACCTGAGCCGACTGGTGGTGGGGGCAGCCGTGTGGCGGGGGGCTGGCCGGGCCTTTCTGCTCATCGAAGACCTGACTGGCTCCTGCTTTGAGCCTCTGCCCCAGGGCCTGCTGCTCCATGAGCTGCCAGACCGCCGCAGCTGCCTGGCAGCCGGCCACCAGTGGCGGGGCTACACGGTCTCCTCCCACACCTTCCTGCTCACCTTCTGCTGCCTGCTGATGGCTGAGGAAGCGGCAGTGTTTGCCAAGTACCTGGCCCACGGACTGCCTGCCGGCACCCCCCTGCGCCTCATCTTCCTGCTCAACGTGCTGCTGCTGGGCCTCTGGAACTTCTTGTTGCTCTGTACAGTCATCTATTTCCACCAGTACACTCACAAGGTTGTGGGTGCCGCAGTAGGCACCTTCGCCTGGTACCTCACCTATGGCAGCTGGTATCATCAGCCCTGGTCTCCAGGGAGCCCGGGCCACGGGCTCTTCCCCCACCCCCACTCCAGCCACAAGCATAACTGAAAGAAATAAAAGCCACTGGGCCTGGCTCTGGCTCCTCTCATCATTTGGTTGGGGCCTGGAAAGGGTGGAAAGAGAGTCTGGTAGTCACTAGGGTTCCTCAGCCATTCCTTGTTGTCATCGATCTTGAATGACCTTCTTTATCCTTGACCTCTGTCCCTTCTGCTGTCCTTTTAGCATCTGCAAAGACTTTGAGCTATCTGGGTCTGTGATATCAAGGAATGGCACTCCTAAGGCAGGTAACAGTGTCCTTAGGTTTGGGCGTCATTCTTAGGAGCAGGTACTCCATCTCCAGCCTGGCGAATTTGTTTTTCCTGCCCTCTCCACTGAACCTCCCCTCCACCTTCCTCAGGGGACTGCTCCACTCAGGGACCCTTCCTGCCCTGTCTCCCCCATAGAGGGTCTGCGTGTGCTCATTTATTTAACAAACGCTATTGAGCCAAGCATAGTTCCATGCCATGAGAATGAGACAGACAAGGTTTCTGTCGTTTTGGGGCTTATGAGCTAACTGGAGAAGGCAGACAGTAAACACACAAATAATAATAGCAAACACTTGCACTGTGTTTACTCTGTGCCAGGTACTGTTCTGGGTGTCTATAAATTCTTTAAATAAACTAACACATTTAGTCCTCACAACAGCAAAACTATGAGGTAGTAGTGTTCCCACCATACAGCTGCAAAAACTGAGGCACAGAGGTTAAGTGACTTGTTCACAGCTAATAAATAGAAGAGCCCAGATTACAAACCCAGGCAATATAGGTGTATTGTCTATGTTCTAAACCAGGGATTAGCAACCTACAGCCCTTCTGTGGCCAGTTTTTGAATGGCCTTCAAGCTATAATAAGAATGGTTTTTACATGTTTTTCTTTTTTTCTTCTTTTTTTAATCCTTCCTTTGCTGATACATTTTTAAATGGTTGAAAAAAATCAAAGAAGGATATTTCATGACACGTGAAAATTACGTGAAATTCGAATTCCAGTGTGTATAAAATGAGGTTTTATTGAACCCAGCCACACGAATGCATATACATATGGCTGCTTCCTGCTACAGTGGCAGAGTCGAGTAGTTGCTACAGACATTGTAAGGCTCCAAAAGCCTAAAATATTTACTATCTAGTCCTTTACAGAAAAAGTTTGCCAAAACCTGGTTTAAACCACTACATTATCCTGTTTCAAAAAAAGAACAAAAACAAAAAACTAGCAAGTGTCACAGAGAAAAGTGCTGTGAATGTACTAAAACAGGATGACTAGTAACAGACTTGGAGGGAGGTACTTTATAAAGGATGATGGAGAAAGTTCTCTCTGAAGAGGTGACATTTGAGCTGAGAACCCAATGATAACACTCAGGGGAAGGGCATTTCAGGCAAAGGGATTAGCAAGGGCAAAAGCCCTGAGGCAGGAATGCACTTGACAACTTTGACAAACAAATGGAAAGCCCAAGCATTTGCAAGTGTAATGAATGAAGGCGAAAGCACGAAGAAGTCAACTTGAAGGGGAGACAGATGTCAGGCAGGCCCTGAAGAAAAAATCCCTTTGGATTTCATTCTAAGGACAACAGGAAGCTGAGAAATGGTTTTAAGCAAGAGAGAAGCATGAAACCCCTGCTCTGTGAGAGTAGATTATAGAAGAATGGAGTCCGCAGCAGGGGTCCAGGAGAGAGCCCATTGGGGCTTGGATAGGGATGGTGCCAGCTCTGAATGTTGCTGCAGGGGCCAGAGGGTGCCCGTGGAGCTAGCCCATGCTGGCGAGGCTAGGAAAGAGAGGCCAGGTCTTGCCCATCTCTGAGGAAAGATAGGGAGCCCCAAGTAAGGCTTATCGCTGTCCGAAGCTGAGCAGGGGAGGAGAGCGAGTGGGGAGTCAGTAGGGAGTCGGGAGGCGGGAGGTGGAAGGTGGGGCGTGCAGAGGTCCGTAAGGGCAGGGCGATGCGAGTACCCGACTCCGGGAGGCGGCGGCGGGGCGGAGGCAATAGGCGGAGTCTGGAGGGGGTGCTTCAGAGGCGGGGCGGGGGCAAACGCTCCTCTCGGGCTAGGGGGGAGCCACGCCTCAGCCGCCCTCCTCCGCGGCTCCGCCCCTCCCCCTCGGGTGGGCCCCGCCTCCTTCAGTCCTCCACTCCCGGCTCCCCAGGAAGGCCGTGCGGGCTGCGAGCGCTGCTTTCGCTTTCCCTTCCCGGTGCCCACTCCTCGCTCCTCGCACGGCGGTAGGCCCCCCGCCCGGCCATGGCCACGCTCAGGGTCCAGCCTGAGGCCCAAGCCAAGGTGAGCTCTGCGGGTTCTAGGCAGGGTCCCGGGGAGGCGTGGCTCAGAGAGACTGAAGGCTTCCCTGGCCCGCCCCCAGACCCCGACCCGAGTCGGGGTCAGTGAGCAGAGCCTGCCTGCGGGGCGCACCTGATCCTCGGGAGACCCGCGGGGGCTGCCTGCGCGGAGAGGCGCGGCGGCCGTGGTTCAGCGGGGTGAGGTGAAGCAGAGAGCTGGCGTGGAGGGGAAGTCCGCTGGCCCGGGACTGGGCCACACACAGACCGGGTGCGGGACCTGCTCCTGCCACCTCGTGGCCTTTCCTTCAGGAAGGTGCCGGGGCCCGCTCCACAGGACAGCCCGACCCTGCCCCACTAGCAGAGGGCTGTCCACACCTCTCCTCACACAGCCCAGGCGACCCCAGGAATCTGTTCTGACTCAAGCCACTCACCCTTTGAGGCCAGGAATGTACTCATCCCCCAAATCCAACCCCACAGGCATCCACTGCACCCTCCCCAGATCCAGGTCTGCAGAGATCCACTCCAACACCACCCCAACCCACCCTCGCAGGGATCTATCTTGGCTTCTTCAGATCTGGCCTTAGGGGGGATCCACTTCACCTTTCCCCCCAGGCCAGGCCCCACACAACCCTAAAGGAAATGTCCTCAAATGAACTGGCCTTAAAGCCAGGTTTCTGAAGGGTTGCCTGTGCCCAACAGGTGGATGTGTTTCGTGAAGACCTGTGTACCAAGGTAAGACCTGCCCCATCAGTACCTACACCCCCACCCAATTCTTACTGCTCAGCCCTGCCTCACTGCCTAGGAAGGGCATTTGGTTCTGACCCCCATCCTTCTCCACCTCACATAGACAGAGAACCTGCTTGGGAGCTATTTCCCCAAGAAGATTTCTGAGTTGGATGCATTTTTAAAGGTACTGGGGCCCGGCAGGGAGCTGGAGAGTTTGGGGGACCTAGAGAGTGAGGAGGTGACAGGAACACCCTCAGCTTCTGCCCTCCTCCCACCCAACACCAGGAACCAGCTCTCAATGAAGCCAACCTGAGCAATCTGAAGGCCCCGTTAGACATCCCAGTGCCTGATCCAGTTAAGGAGAAAGAGAAGGAGGAGCGGAAAAAACAGCAGGAGGTACGTCTGGAAGACCTGGGAGGAGGGATCCAACCATGGGGAAAATCAGCCTTAGTCCTGACTCCCATGGACCCCTCTCTCCCTGCAGAAGGAAGACAAGGATGAAAAGAAGAAAGGGGAAGATGAAGACAAAGGTACTTGAAACCACTACGGTGGGAAGAGACTTGAGTCCCCCCACCCCACAGGAGCTCCTCCCTAGGGAGTCCTTTCCACTCTCCCCTTCAGCACCTCTCACACAGGCTCACTCATGTGAATAACCCATTGCCTACTCTCTAGGTCCTCCCTGTGGCCCAGTAAACTGCAATGAGAAGATCGTGGTTCTCCTGCAGCGCTTGAAGCCTGAGATTAAGGATGTCATTGAGCAGCTCAACCTGGTGAGCCCTCCCACTTCCACCCTCAGGCTTTTTAAGTTAAACCCTTTGTCCTCTTGGTCCCTGCTAGTTAAGGTTTGGCACTTGTCTTAGCAAGAGAGGGCACAGCAAGTGAAGCCAGAAGTCTAGGCCCTGGAGCTCAAAATGGACCCGGCACACCTCCACCCAGTGTGGGCAGGGAAGCAAGGGAGGATAGGAACCCGGGAATTGGGTGGAGGGTTGATGTGGCTTTGATGCCATTTTCTCCCCCCAGGTCACCACTTGGTTGCAGCTGCAGATACCTCGGATTGAAGATGGGAACAATTTTGGAGTGGCTGTCCAGGTGAGACCACTGCCCCACTCCCCCACCCTCCTTTCTAGTCCATGCTTCCTTCCACTTTCCCCCTTGCTTTCTTTCCCCAGGAGAAGGTGTTTGAACTGATGACCAGCCTCCACACCAAGCTGGAAGGCTTCCACACTCAAATCTCCAAGTGAGTGACTGATCACCCACACCCATACTCTGGGCTCCCTCCTTCTTCTCCCACTCCATACACACTTCTACTTCCCACAGGTATTTCTCTGAGCGAGGTGATGCAGTGACCAAAGCAGCCAAGCAGCCCCATGTGGTAGGTGAGGCCCAGGTTCAGGTGCATGGGGAAAGGACACATGTGAAGTCAGGCATGACCTGAGTTTCCCACAGGGTGATTATCGGCAGCTGGTGCACGAGCTGGATGAGGCAGAGTACCGGGACATCCGGCTGATGGTCATGGAGATCCGTAACACTTATGTGAGGAGGCGAGGGCAGGGGTGGGCAGAGGCAGCTTTCCCAGGTCACCCACTCCCTGGCCCTGCAGGCTGGGGGTGAAGGGTGACAAAGCTTGGTCTCTCCACAAGGCTAGAAATGGGGCACAGAGCCACCGTGGGCCTGAGGCTGACCCCTATTCCTCTCTGGTCTTGTAGGCTGTGTTATATGACGTCATACTGAAGAACTTTGAGAAGCTCAAGAAGCCCAGGGGAGAAACAAAGGGAATGATCTATTGAGAGCCTCCTCTTACTCTGTGATGGATACAGCACAGACCTTGTTTTTTACCGGGGACTCCAGACTTTTCCCTACCTTTCTACTGTTGAGGTTTTTCACTCACCTTGCCTCTCAGGCACAATAAATATAGTCATACTGTGACCCATCAGCTCAAGTCTCTTTATTGGATCCTGACACCCCTGGCCCTGGCTAGGCATTTCCATTGGTGGGACCAACCCACTGGGTGATTTGGGTATTGAGCTGCTGGTTGGTCCAGTCCTGCCGGATGTCGTCGAGGTGGCAGTCAAAGTCCACAAGATGCTGGTGTGCCTGGCTCTCCAGTAGTACTCCCACCATCTGCCGTGACTCCTCCCAGTCCCTCCACATCACTCTGAAATAATAACCCCCATGGAGGTCAAACAGCAGGCAGTGGGTACAGACACATACTTGACAGAGGTTAGGTCTGGAGAAGGACCCTTGGGGCAGGACCAAGGACAGAAGAGGCCCAGGAGCCTTGGGCTTCCAAGAAAAGGCGGAGGGAGTGGGGCACTCACAAGTTCTTGTCCTTGGGGACCCAGCGAAGACCTTGGTTCTCCAGGACGATGACAGGGGGCACACGAGGCTGAGGCACCAGTTTCTGATTATCCAACTGGGTGGACAAAGAAGGGCAGGTGACAGTAACAAGGATCCCCCTCCCTACTTTCTCTCCACCTCTCCACCCTGAAACCCAAGTCTCACCATAATAAGTACTGCATCAGGGAAGAATTCTGCAATTCGTCCAGCGATTTTCAAGGCCAGGGGCCCAGGGCTGTGTAGAAGGAAGATCAGAGGAGTGAGGAGCCAACTGTGGGCAAAACCCGTCCATTTGAACTGGGCCTCCCAGGTCTCATAGATGTGGGCGCAGCTGTGGCCTTTCCCTGTAGCTGGCCTGGGGGGGTCACGCCTGCTGGATGCTTGATGCACGACTGCTTGATGCTTGAGTGTTGTGGGAAACAGGTGCTCTGGCACTGCTGGTGAGAGTGGAAATCAAAGGTGGTCTTTTTGGAGGGCAATTTGGCATAACCATCCAAATTGAAACTATACTATATACAGGCTGACCCAGAAGTTCCACTTATAAAGAATTTACTATTTATATAATAATAGGACAGTGTCCATAATAAAAAGTTGGAAACAATCTCAATGTTTAATGTAGGCATTAAATAAATTATGGTACACCCGTATTCATACTATATAGCTGTTAGGGAAGGCAGCTTTTGGTGTGGAAATGGAAAGATAGCAAATATTTATATTCATTAGGTGAGGAAGAGAAGCAAATTACAAAACAGTATTTCTAACTTGATTCATATATATGTTTAATATATAGAATTATCTTTCTCTCTATATATATATATTATATCTGTAAAGAAATTTCCTTATTTCTAAAATAGTTGGCTGGGCTCTGTGTTCTTTCAGCACTTGGGGGACACCTCAGTTAAAGCAAGATCAGCCTGTGTTGATACACAATTGTCCTCCCCACCCTCACTGCAGCTCCTCCAGAGCAGGGCTCTGTCCTATTCATCTTTGTATGTCCTCACTCCAGTACCCAGCATAGTGCCTGGTGTACAGCCCCTGCTCCTAAGCCTTTAACGGAGGAAAGATGAAAGAAACGAATGACCTTGGTTCTCCTGCGCGTCCCCCCATTCCCTTCCCCCGCCCCAGCCAAAATCCTTTGCCTTCTGCCTCTGGCTACTCCACTCACCTCTGGTCGTCTAGAGCTGCATTGGCATGGTAGTATCCAGCCACCACCAGACCAGCCTGTGTGCCCCACACATCCACCTGTCGTAGGAAAGGGGCCATCAGTAACTAAATCATGCCGCTAGCCTTGGTGCGCACTGCTGCCAAGGGGGTGGGGATGGACTTTGGGCTAGGGGTGTTAGGGGGTTGAGAGTGGGCGTCCAACGGAGGCACCTGGTTGAGGGCGACCTCCAACATGACGGACAGGGCCAGGTGGCTGTGGAAGAGGGGCACACAGTCGGTGAGGCACAGGCATTCTCCGGACCGCGGCGCTGGCGCCAGCAACAGCCCGTTGACCGCCGCGTGTGGGTACCGGGCGGCGTGCAGGCACATCTTCACGTAGGCCCGGGCCGAGATCTCCACTTCCCCCATGGCGAGCGGGGCCTGCCGGGAAGCAGCAAGCCCGATTAGTGCCGGTTCCCCACCCAGCTGAGGCGAGCCGGTCCCCAGCTCGCGTTCGTGTAGCTCCCTCCAGCGCTCGGCGCCCTCCTTGGCCCTTCCCGGTGCCCCCTCACTTGGGTTCAGCGGCGACGCTAACTCGGCTCTAAGGCGGCCCGCCGGCTTCGTGCGACCTCGGTCCCAGAGCCCTCCCCCGGCCTGGCCCAGACAGAAGGAGGTTCCGATTGCATCCCGCGCCTCCCAGCGCCGCCTCCCCTCGCCCCTAGCGGACAGCAGCAGATCCCTGCCTGTCCCGGGGACTCAGAGCCCGCAGCTCCCAGCGGGACGGTTCCCGGAGTCCCGCCCACGTGGTGATCCTTGATAGGTCTAGAGGTTCTCGTTTTCTCCCATCAGTGGCCGCGTCGAAACCTTGCCCCGCCTTTGTCTCCAGCGAACTGGAAAGAACCCGCAACTGCAAAGGAAAGAAAATTGCTCGCATTCTTATTGGCTAGGCTACCCGACTTCCACTCTTGATTGCAGGTTGGCTTTGCCTGTTACTTGTGTTGCCCGCCACCACAGAGCCCTGGGAATGGAGCGCTTGCCAGCAGTCGGGTGTCCCGGAGCACTGGGGACAAAGCAGATAGCCTTGCTCCTTTTATGGAATGAGAGGATCTGTACTCTCCATCTTCTGTCATTTGCTAATGAGCCGTGTTACTTTTAAGGCCGCAGGTTATCTGGCCCTTGGTTTCTTTAATGTAGTATCTGCTACCCATGGTCCTTTAAGGATTAAATGAGATATGCATAAGGACGGGCTTCCAAACTGTCAAATGCTATGCTGCAAATTCTTCTTCTTTTTTATTTTTTTGTTGTTGTTTCTTTTTCCGCATCGACAGCAGCAAAAATTCTTATATCTTAAAACAAGATAAGGCCCTAAATTAAAGAACAATCTCACAGAATGTATAGTAAAGACCACAGCGGAGGAACCCTTGTCTCTACCACCTGCCCAGGACTGAATCCTGAAAGGCAGAGATAAAGACGTGATTGACTGACAGAGAGGGAAAAAAGGACAAAAAGAAAAACTTACAGATTCATCCTTCCCATGATGTCCTGTGGTATATAATTCCTTCACCACAATGCCATGGGTGCATTTTTTCCCAGCTCCCAGCCCTTGAGAAGGAGTCCAGTCATTCATCCATAATCCACCCAGCGAAACCTCATTCTCCCTCTAAGCTTGTTGAGGGAGGATTATTCCTTTCTTCATTCCCCTTCAGCCCCAGAGCTTTCCCTCCTCTATCCAAAGCCATTCCTATAAGGGCTCTGCCCAAATGCCGCCTCTTTCATGAAGAACTCATGAGACCTACAATGGAAATAATCTTGTAAAATTCCAAAATACAGGTTATCTGCATGGCTGTCATGGCCTGTAACAGTCCCCACCCTGTTCCTTAGTTGGACATCTTAAGACCAAGAAGGGTGTCTAATTCATCTTTGTCTTCCTGGCATCCCCACCCCTTCCCACCATCACATTCATCTTCACTGTCTGGACACATGTGGCACTCAATAAATGCTTTTTGAATGAATGGCACAGACCAGAGGTAATCCACACAAAGTACAGGTCATTTATTTTCCTTCTAGCCCTGGGCTCAGTACATAGATGGCTTTTCTTCACCCTTCGGATTGACAATTTTCTCCAGGTTGCTGCTGATGATATGATAAAGCTCAGCCTGAGAGAAGGCGAGAGAGTAAGAGTCAGGTTATGGCCTCTCCCTGCCATGCACCTTCCTTAAGGGCTTACTCCATACTCACATAGAAGGCCCTCAGGTCCAGCACCATGGCCCTGAGCTCCCTATAGGCCGCCTCATCTCGCTCATGCACCAAGGCCCGGTAATCCATCTGGGATATGGGAGGCAAAGCTAAGTCAGACCCAAGGGAGCTTGGGACATTAGTTTGGTTTCCTTATATAGGGGATAGGTTAACTTGAAGATAAGCCCCTTCTCAGCACCAAGACATGAGATCCCAAAGGACTGAGCAGAAAAAGGGGTTGAGGTTGTGGAAGCCCCAATCAGTTTTTCTAGGCAACAATTTTGGCTTCATATCCTCCTCAACAGGAAGGTCTTACAAGATCAGGACCTCTTCCCTGCCACCCACCCCACCTCCAGCCAGCTAAAAGGTTGGTGGACTATCCACTCACTACATGAGTCTCCTTGGAGGCCTTGGCCACAGCATCCCCACGTTCTGAGAAGTACCTGCCAGAAGCAAGGGGAATACCACAGGGGTGAGAGTTCAGGGAGATGTATTCCCTCAGACCCTTTGCACAAAGAAATGGCTCTACAGTCCCCCATGTTGATCCTCCAGCTGCCCTCACTTGGAAATGGTTGTCTGGAAGGCTTCCACTTTGGTCTTGACTGCATTCACCCTCTCCAGCACCTTCTCCTGTAGTGACATGGGTGATAAAGAAAACATTTCATTTCCTCCCTCTTTCACTATTTCCTTCTCCTCCTAGCTCATTTCTAGCTCTTCTCACTCCCAAAGTCTCTCCCCACTCTCAGTATCCTCATTCATCCCGATTTTTCTTTTGGTTTTTATTGTAGAGACAGGGTATTGCTCTGTCCCCCAGGCTGGAGTGCAGTGGCACAATCATAGCTCACTGCAGCTTTGAATTCTGGGGCTCAGGTGATCCTCCTGCCTGAGCCTCCTGAGTAGCTAGAATTACAGGTGTCTGCGGTCACGCCTGGCTCATTTTAAAAAAATTTTTTGTAGAGATGGGGGTCTCACTACGTTGCAAAGGCCGGTCTGGGACTCCTGGCCTCAAGCGATCCTCTTGCCTTGGCCTCTCAAAATGCTGGGATTACAGGCATGAGCCACCACACTTGGCCTCAGTCACCGTTTTCTTACCTGGATTGCTACCCCAAAATCATTTCCATCCTCAATCTTGGGGATCAGGTGCTGGATCCATGTGATCACCTATATTAAGAGATATCATATATAATAATATATAATAATAATATGATAATAATAATAAAAAGAAGAATTCAACAAACTTATTGGGTTCTTCTTATTACTGCCACTTCTTTTTTTTTTTTTTTCACCAGCCTAGAAGCTACTAAGGAAATATACTGCCACTTCTTAATGATAGCTATATTTAATATATTTATTTATATTTATTTATAAAGAACACTTATATACTAGGCACTGTGGTAGATTTACCTCATTTAATTATCACAGCAACCTTCCAAGGTATATATTCTTATTGTATCCATTTAACAGATGAAAAAATTGAGTCACAGAACATCTAAATATCTTACCTAAGGTTACCAGCTGGATAAATGATAGAATCAGGATTCTATCACTTACCCAGCAGTCTCTCTCTAGGGTCCATGCTTTTAAACCAACTCACTATATCATATCACTTTCACTGTCCTGTGTATCTGTTACAGTAGTAGGGTCTAAGGCTATAGAGGTAGATACAGTACAGTCTCTGATTTCAGGGCTACCACTGTGATACCAGAGGTATAACAGAATGATGAAACAAAGGGGATATAAACCCAAGGCATAGAAGGAAGTTTCCTTTTTCAGGACTAAGTCTCTGAATGGAGGATTTACATCTCTGAAGGAGACCAGGGCCTGGCCTTGCTCATCTTCTCTTTCCACTTCCCTCAATACCCAGGCTTACCAGAATGCACTTCTCTTTGAGAGTCCAGACTTCTGGCTTAACCAGGGCAAGGAGGGACAGGACTTTCTCATTCCCAGGGAGAAATCCACATTTAGGGACTGTGAGAAAGAGGGGATTTAGGCCCTTTCTCATTTGGCAGTTAATGTGCCATTTCCCCTTCCCTAGTCACCCCTTTCTCCCTTACCTTCTTTCTTCTCCTGCTTATCTGTTTCCATCTAGGGCAAAGGGGGGAAAGTAGCCTTTAGAAAAGTCAAAGAGGTTGAAAGGGTATCACCTCCATTGGGTTTATAGTCTGAGACCTGCCCCGAGTACCTTACCTCATCATCCTTGGGTGGGGGGTCTGGGATGGGGATGTCCAGTGGGGCCCGGAGGGAGGACAGGTCTGCCACATTGAGGGAGTCCTCCTGCACAGAGCTCATTGTCAGGGGCTGCCAAGCCTCTTCCCTTGACCCTGAGTCTCAGCCTTCCCTCCACACATTCCTGCCCTCTGCCACCCAACCTAGGCTCAGGCCTCACACCATCCTAATGTTCCCAATCCACCATTCACAACTATTCTCTGCATGCTGAGCCCAGCTGTTAGCTAGAGAGGGTGGGTGGTGGGGAGAGAGGACATGGGATGGAGCAGGAGGGGCCCACACTACTCACCTGCAAGAGCTGATTCAGGTATATGATTTTCTGTGGCAAGAATCTGTAGAGGAATTCCTCAGCCTGTGGGTTACATTGCGAGGGGCGGGAATCACAGAAGACAATGAGATGTCTGAGAATTGGCACTGGAAGGGCCCCATAAATCATTGTGTCCAAGACTTACAAATGAGGAAACTGAAGCCCTGAAAATCAAGGGACTTGCCCAAGCTGGTAGGTAAGTGGCAGAACCAAGGTTAGGACTGTGGTATTCCTGCTTTAGGAGCCATGGCATTTCCCTTCACATCAAAAGAGGGGAGAGGAAGTGTCAGAAGGGGAGAGAGTCCAAAGAGGCTCCATTTAAGGGCAGATGTCAGTAATTAGGAGCTCACCTTGGGTGAAGGCTTGGTAAGGGAAATAGGGACAAAGTCCAGGGTGGGTCTGAATCACTCTGAGAGGTTGTGACCCTCAAGTACTGGTCTAAGATTCTAAGTGAAATTGCTTGAATCAAAAGAGACTTACCTCCTGGAAAAGATTTTGCCTGAAGACATCCACCTACACAGACAGCAGTACCCGGATGTTGGTTAAGGGTCTAAGTTGTCAAGAGTAAGACCCCATCCCAACGGGGTACCTTCCAACTGTGGCTCAGGCCTTTCCCCCACAAGCCAGTTTTCCCTCAAAGCCCCTGCTCAGTGCACAGACTGGTTAGAGGGCAGGAATCTGGAAATCCCCGGGCTGAAGTGAAAGCTCTAGAGACCGGTTGGGGGAGTTCTCTGGCACAGTCTTGGTCCCCTGAAGCACCCAGCTTGGCCTCCATCTAGGAGGGTTCCCCAGACCCTTCCTGGCCTCCAGTTCCCCGTTACCTGTTTGCGGGCCTCCCCACTCAGGCGCACCCCACAAGGCTTGGCCATGCTGCTCCAGTAGCCAGATCTCCGGTCTCTCAGCTAGTCGCCCAGGCTTTCGCTTTCACTCCCCAGGTCCAGGCCCGCCCCCCTCAACCCCGCCCCCTTTCTTTTTTTCCCTTCCCCCTCCCCCCTGGCAGGCCGCAAACAGTAGGTAGCCCCTCAGCCATTCCCAGCCAGTTGCCACCAGGAGAGGCGGTGCTGGCTGGGTCATAAGCCCAGGGGTTGTCCGAGGGAGGGGCTAGGGTGAGCGGGATCGCTGAGACTGGAACCGGGGCTGTCCCTCAGCGAGGGGGCGGGGCTTATAGTGAGGACCGAGGGGAAGTCCCGGGTTGGGGTGAGAGGGGTGGGAGAATGGGAAAGGGCGTAGGTATCCAGTGGTGGGGTTCCCCTGAGAAGGCTTGACCGTGAGGAGGGGACGGAGAGGGATCAGAGCGAGTGGAACGCGTAGTAAGAGGGAGCCCCTGGGGCGGAGAAGAGGTGGAAGAGAAGCTAGCGGGGGGGTGGGGCTTTCCCCTGCCTTCAGGACAGACCGGAGAGTGGGCGGGACTTGCTTGAATGGGCCTAGGGCTGGCCAGAGTCGGGTCCCCAGCAAGGGGCGGGTAGTTTCCCAGAGAGGACCGGAGCATGGCAGACTGGTCCTGATGGAAAGGTGAAGGCTCTGAGCCAAATAGGACCACCCGTGCCTGGAACTATCCGGAAGGGGGGGAACCAGACGGGAGGAAAGCAGGAAAGTGTTCTTGAATGCAGGGAAAACGCGGGGACGCGCTGAGGGAGGAGCCAGAGGTTATTTACCTCCTCATTGGTTGGGACCGCCTTTTTGGCCACGCCCCTGGCCTCCAGACACATTCCCCTTCCTTAAGCTTAAGCCCCTCCCGTTCCTCTGAAACCGGGTCGCAGTCCCGCCCTCTTTCTTAGTACTTCCTGTTCCCGGCTAACCCTGCCCCTGGGCCGGGGGCCGGAGAGTGACCGTGGCCCGAGTGACCCGGAGCAGCTCCACGGACCGGATCAGGTCTCAAAGCCGGGCACCAGGCGGGAGGGCGGCGTTCCCGCGCTGGGTCCTGACGGACGGCAAGGCTGGGGCTGACTCCTGTCTCAGGATGCCGGGGGAGGAGGAGCGGGCCTTCCTGGCGGCCCGCGAGGAGCTGGCGAGCGCCCTGAAGAGGGATTCCGGGCAGGCGTTTTCCTTGGAGCAGCTCCGGCCGCTATTAGCCACCTCCCTGCCGCCAGCCGCCCGCTACCTGCAGCTGGACGCCGCACGCCTGGTCCGCTGCAACGCTCATGGGGAGGTGAGGCCCGGCCCCGCTTCAAAGGGAGACATAGGGCCTGGGGCCGGGGCCAGCTCACAACTCTCTGCTTTCTGACTGTTCCCAGCCCCGAAACTACCTCAACACCCTGTCCACGGCCCTGAACATCCTGGAGAAATACGGCCGCAACCTCCTCAGCCCTCAGCGGCCCCGGTACTGGCGCGGGGTCAAGTTTAATAACCCTGTCTTTCGCAGCACAGTGGATGCGGTGCAGGTGAAGCCCCTGAGCCTTATGGGAAAGGGGACTGGGACTGGGCCTGGGCTGGAGTTTGGCTCCTGAGGCTGTGCTGAATGGGAAGGGGCGCTGATTGGTTGTGAATGTGTGGTAGGGGGGCCGGGATGTGCTACGATTGTATGGCTACACGGAGGAGCAGCCAGATGGGTTGAGCTTCCCTGAAGGGCAAGAGGAGCCAGATGAGCACCAGGTTGCTACAGTCACACTGGAAGTACTGCTGCTTCGGACAGAGCTCAGCCTGCTGTTGCAGGTAAGATGTTCCTTAGTCCTGATAGTTTACAGACCAGGGCTGGGGAGCACAGCCTAACTCAAGTCGGTCTGAGGACCCCCATGCTGCTGAACGGTGGACATTCTGGGAGCTCCTGGTACTGTTCTTTTCTCTGTGAATGTTAAGGGACTAGGGCTTATAGGGAGGGCCTTGTTCTAGGGTGCTAGGTGGAAGCCCTTTTTTTCTGGTTTGCAGAATACTCATCCAAGACAGAGAGCGCTGGAACAGCTGCTGGAAGATAACGTTGAAGATGATGTAAGGAAGGCAGGAAGGGGGCTGATGAACAAAGGGAACAGGAATTGTTGGATTCTGTGTCCCATGCCCCTTGCCCATTCCCTGCTCTTTCTTCCTTAGACGCTACAGCTTTCAGAGTTTGAACCCTTACTGAGAGAGATTGCTCCCGGCCCCCTCACCACACCTTCTGCCCCAGGTATTTTTGGTCCTACATGGGGGGTGTGGTGAGTAGTAGATTTCCATATTGATGGAAATTTGAGACCTTCCTCTATCTTCTTGGTTATCTTCCTTTGTTTTTTAAAAGAGATTAAAATTGTTTTCTTGGGTTCAAATGTTTTGAAAAGTAGTCTTGTGATTTGCCTCCATCCATAGCAGATTCAGGCATAACCTAGTCTTTTTTAGAAAGATACTCTGTTCTTTCCTCTCGTGTTCTCTAGGCTCCACTCCTAGTTCCTGCTTCCTCTGTGGTTCTGCCCCAGGCACACTGCACTGCCCATCCTGTAAACAGGCCTTGTGCCCAGCCTGTGACCACTTGTTCCATGGACACCCATCCCGTGCTCATCACCTCCGCCAGACCCTACCCAGGACCTTGGTCCAGGCCACCCACCTGAGCTCCAGGTGAGATGTTTTCTTCTCTTCTGGATGAGAATGAAATTTAGAGACCTTAAAATCACTTGATTATCTACCATTTGCCAAGTTCTATGCTAAAGACTGTTTAATAAAGGACAAGCAACCAGTCACAGCCCTGAAGGAGATAGTAGACATACACATCAAACAAGTAGCATTCACTATAAGACAGGTTATTATGGTGTGCAAATAGGTAGTAAGTGGATGCAACCTAGTCTGAAGGATCAGCTCAATCACTTGGCAGTATTTTCAGTACCCATACTAGGTATATCTACCCAGAAGAAGTGAGCTTTAAGCTGCCATTTAAATGTTGTACAGACCATGGGTATGAGAGTGTTTGAGACAGAGACAACAAGATGTGCAAGGGCCAGTGCCATGTGCCGTTACCCAGGAAATGGGGAATGCCCAGAAGTGAGGGACCCAGGTACCAGGTCCCACCTCAAAAGGCCATATCTGCTTTTCCATTACAGTTTACCTGCCTCAGCCCAACCACAGCCCCAGCCGACCTCCCTGCTGGCCCTGGGAGACAGCTCTCTTTCTTCCCCTGATCCTTCAAGTGCTCGTTTGCCCTGGCACTGTGCTGCCTGTGCCATGCTAAATGAGCCTTGGACAGTGCTCTGTGTGGCCTGTGCTTGGCCCCGAGGCTGTAAGGGGTTGGGGCCGAGGATCGAGGGTCCCCAAGGAACCGGGGGCTTAGAACCTGAGCTTGCACGGGATCGGTGGGCCTGCCAGAGCTGTACCTTTGAGAATGAGGGACCGGCTGTGCTATGTGCCATATGTGAGCGACCTCGGCTGGCCCAGCCTCCCAGCTTGGTGGTGGATTCCCGGGTTGCTGATATTTGCCTGCAGCCCCTTCAGGTAACCCGTTCCTGGCCTTCCCAGCTCTTCATTGCACATGTTACCTCAGGCCATTCTCTGCTTTCCCATCCCCCATTTTCCTTTAGTTCCCCCAGCTCCATATATTTCCATCGTAAACCTCGGCCAGCCAGTCGATACCATAATCCTCTCTGCCTTCCCAGCAGGGGGATACCTTGCTCTCTTCTGCCCAGACTCAAGTCTGGTACTGTATTCATTGTACCTTCTGCAACTCGGGCCCTGGCTGGGTGTGTGTTATGTGCAACCGGACAAGCAGCCCCATCCCAGTACAGCATGCCCCCCGGCCCCATGCCAGCTCTTTGGAAAAGGGACTCCCGAAGCCTGGGCCTCCGGGATGCCTCAGTACCCCCCTGCCCAGTTCCTGTGGAGACTCTGAAAAGCACCGACAAGACAAGATGCGGGAGGAAGGTCTCCAACTAGTAATCATGATCCGGGTGAGGATTCGGCTTGGGATGAGGTGGGGCTGAGCTGGTGGGGGAAAGGAGATGCTGCAGTTGGTTGATAGTTCTTATAAAATTTGTCATTTTTAGCAGCAGCTATCTGTGCCTTACTGAACACTTCCCACGTGGCAATTAACATTTTATGCACTGGTCACATGGTCCACATCTGAGCCCAGCCACTGTTGGCATCTCAGTTCGTCTGAGGGTGGATGGAGGGTATCCCTCTTCATGAGCCTGATGGGTGGGACTGTGCCTTAGGAAGGGGAAGCTGCAGGTGCCCGTCCAGAGGAGGTCTTCTCGGCTCTGCAATACTCAGGCACTGAGGTGCCCCTGAAGTGGTTGCACTCAGAGCTGCCCTACGTGCTGGAGATGGTGGCTGAGCTGGCTGGACAGCGGGACCCTGGGCTGGGTGCCTTTTCCTGTCAGGAGGCCCGGAAAGCCTGGCTGGATCGTCATGGCAACCTTGATGAAGCTGTGGAAGAGTGTGTGAGGGCCCGGCGTAGGAAGGTATCAACTGTGCTGGAGGTGGGACAGGATTGAGAGTCTTAGAGTCTCTTACATTCTCCTTTGCTTGCTTTTCTGTCTTCACTTCCTCTGTCCACTCCCAACTTGCAGGTACAGGAGCTCCGGTCTCTGGGCTTTGGGCCTGAGGAGGGGTCTCTCCAGGCATTGTTCCAGCATGGAGGTGATGTGGCACGAGCCCTGACTGAGCTACAACGCCAGCGCCTAGAGCCCTTCCGTCAGCGCCTCTGGGACAGTGGTCCTGAGCCCACCCCCTCCTGGGATGGCCCAGATAAGCAGGTGCTAGGAAGAGGCGAGGAGCCAAAGAACCCACCTAGAGGAGCAAGAGGGAAGTTGGGAAGGGAAGGTTCCTGGGCTCTGACAATGACTTCTCCTGCCTCCACCTGAATCACATTGCAGAGCCTGGTCAGACGGCTTTTGGCAGTCTACGCACTCCCCAGTTGGGGCCGGGCAGAGCTGGCGCTGTCACTGCTGCAGGAGACACCCAGGAACTATGAGTTGGGGGACGTGGTAGAAGCTGTGAAGCACAGCCAGGACCGGGCCTTTCTGCGCCGATTGCTTGCCCAGGAGTGTGCTGTGTGTGGCTGGACCCTGCCCCACAACCGGGTAAGCCCCTCCCCACCATACCTGGTCTTGGAATTACTGTATTCCCTTTGGACCTCCACCCCAATTCATATCTCTGGCCCTGTCTTCTACTCTGCAGTTGCTCAAGTACCCCTGAAGGCTTCTGGGAAGGGGAGGGCAGGAACAGGCTACCCCCTTTCTTT